CTTCTCCTATTCTTCATTCCAATGGGCAGCCAAAAGACAGCAACCAAAACCGGCGCACGAGAGTGCATGGTTAATGGTTGTTCAAACTGAAAACTGAAACATTTGTGTGATGAACTGTGATGATGACGGGTTGAACCTCATAGTTGGGAAGACCTGTTTTTCAGTAATGGGGGCCGGTAACCTAAGACCAAAGAGTTGGAGTGGTAAACCCAATAGGGCCCCGCTAGGTTAGGCGCGGTATGGAACCGGACAACCACAAAGCCACCTACCACCAAAGTTCGGCGGGGTTCGAACAGCAGGTCCAAAAGCACGCCCGTGACAGTGACTGAACCACAGCAGCACCCGCAGGTATAGGGTACATCGACTGATCTAACAGTAATGACAACCACCAAAGAGTGGAGATACAAGGTTTGTCTGACCTTGCACAATCCCCATGCATAGGGATGGAACAAACGAAGTACGTCACACTGTTTTCCATCCGTGTGAAGCAGGATTACTCAACGATGAAGTGATGCGTGAGAACTAAACGAATTGCAATCCCGACAGTTGTCACCACCCCGTCCCCTTTACAAAACCAAGCTCAATGTTCCTCGAATTACGTGACCTATCACACCAAACGCCTACACCTAGTTGGTCCATTCCTTTGCTCTCAACAATGAGGTTCCTCCCGTCCGTTTTGTATCGCAGAGGGATGTGTAGACGCAAAAACATAGGTATAAAACATACCCGGTTCGGATTTTGATGAACAGGTTAACAATGGATTCCACAGCACATGTTCACAGGACATCAATGGACGAAGCATGGAAAAACCCCAACGTCGGACAACCACCAGACCCGGGGCGAAAGGCAGACGTGATTTTGTCCCGACTCCAACAGGCAGCAAAGCTGATGCATAGGGGATTTGTAACAGTCCCAGAGGTTGTAACGCGTGTTCGTGATAGTCAACAGCGGTGGCGTAGAACGTTTTTAGCATCGTACGAAATTCGGATACGTTGTTGTGATAGGGAATCTGAGATAGAGAGAGAGAGAGATTAAGAACAGAGCACAGACGAAAGCGGAGATCAGAGGACGGTCTGATGAAGTCGTCAGTGGGTGGAACAGTGAAAACCGAGGGAGAATACCTACCTGAGTCATAAGCATACTCGACACTTGGGATCGCAGTTCATCCAGGTTTTCCGCAGCACTAAAGGGATCGCTGTCCTGTAGTTGACTGGTGTTTCGAACGGACTGCAGTACGCAAAACCAGACGGAAAATTGGTGTGAGCAAAACAACGGAGTAACGATTAGTGACTGGTGGTATTTGGTAAAATGAATTGACGTGGACAGAAGTATTTCGACATTAAGAACTAATCAACAGTGAAAGATCTATGAACTGCAATGACTGGCTAATTTATGAATGATAGTAATTGTTTTGTTTATTTCTCGACAAGTCAAGTGGCAATTTGGAGTATTCACATAAAACTACGAGCTCCATAGCGCCACTGAAAGTAAAATTACGCACCAACTCTACCGGGAATGGGGAAATCGCGGTGTTTCCAACGGATTGGAAAAATACTAAATCTGAGGGAAAGCCAGAAAAGATGACGTATAACAGGAACGAACTAGGGACCACACATTTCAGGACGTTTGATGGTATACCATCCGAAACGGGTGCGACGATCGGTCCATCCTCCTGGTGCTAACACGAGGTAGAAAAGAGAAAAAAGAAATTGGAGTTGGATAACCAGGTAAGATGGAGTTGGAGGCAAACTGTGGAACAAAACCCTCGGCTTTCTCGTGCTGCATACAGAAGATTACTATATGACGTACAAATGATACGGAAATAGAAAGGGCAGAAGTTGCCGAAAACTACTTTGGCAAGGGATCAAAAAAATCTGCTACTTGCGGCGGACGATGGGTTCTTTCATCCTCTACATAATTCATGCGAATCTGTTCCTCGCTTCCACGAAGCGATGAAATAAAGCGAAAGTGAAGCGGAGACAGCGGAGGAAAGATGAGCGTTCTAAGTGCAAAGCACGATCACATAGGGAGATGAACCACACAGCTGATTTTCGATCGCTTGGTTTGAGAAGGCGCGGAGTAAAGCCAGGCATACTTTGAAGAACCATATCAGCGAAACTGGAAACGAATATGCAACTATCCTAAGTAAAAAAAGAAATGGCCCCAGGAATAGGGAGTTAGAAAGCCGCAAACACCGTCACAGTTCGCTGAGTTGTGTCACCCCTGCACCAAGCGGAAAGAATATGGAGATGTCATAGGACGGAGAATAGACCGAAGAGATAATGAGAAGGATTTGGTCAAGGTTGCCATCATGATCAGGGTTATGTGCGGGCAGGTCGAATAGATGGACCACTGTAAAACGTTCCACTTCGCGCACTTAAGACGAAGTGTCAGAGCAGTGTGTCAACCGTTATTGATGTTGAACGATTAGATCGCCAGAGGTCGTTACATGGCAGTTAGGTTCTGTCTTAAACAAGTCAATCTTAGAAAGTAAGATATCAAAAATGGAAGATTCGCCAGTGTTGGGTGAACGATAAGCAACACCAAAGTATTGTTTGAAAAAAGCAGCTCAGAGCTTCAAAAACGTTCGCAGAAATTCACGATTGGCAAACTCAATATATTACACTCTGGATACTGTGATTGACTGATGGACAAAGGCGCGGTCCCCAGCTCCGGAGACAGGAGATAAATGGAAGCTGTCGTCAGTGTGTTGGATTTTTCTTAAATGCGAGCGGAATAACGGATCAGGCAACCACGGATAAGGGAACAAAACAGCAGTATTGACAGCGATTAAGCGACTGAATTAGACACGGACCAAGTGTGGCAATGCGAGCATAACCGATATACATGTTAAACGCACGGATCGCACACTTAACTTGCACAACAATACCGGTAGTTTACACACTGAAAACAGTGCATTCTTGATGCAACTGATAAACGAGGAAAAAGCGTAATCTGGCATGTATAACTGAAACACATAGATATTGTTAACAGGTAAGATCCGGTGAAATTTTACAGATGACGTCATTTGCCGACAAAAAAATTGAAATTTCTTAACCTTTTCTGTCATTAAAGTCTCCGGGCTGGTGGAATTGGTGCACATGATAGCAGTATTTAATTCCAGTCTAGTCTACTTAGTGCATCTACCTGACAAATGAATTGATGCTTTGATTTCACAGAAAGCTGACAATGGAAGCCATATCGGTGCTAAAAAGAAAAACCCCTTACACAGTGGAATTGATACTAGTAGGCAGTAGCTATGAAACAGATTACCTTCAGTGCATTGGCAATCGCGAACCAGGACAAACGACCCGGTTGAAACATGAAGTCCAGAAACGACTCTACCATCTCCAGCGACGGAGCGGAATCATCCATTTGCGCTGTACCGTCATCATCTTCAAATAATGGGGGAAAGCGACGCCAATTCGCAATGGGCTCGTAAGGACGCCAGCCTGGTGCCGAAGCACAGGAGCGTTCTATCATGGAGGAGCAAGCCGTTTGACATTGCACTGGTGCCGACCAACAGACTTGGTACGCACTCTCCAATGATCCGTTTCGTTTGTCAGTTTGATGTGCAATCCACCAAACACCTGCGCGAAAAAAATGAGCACAATATCAGAGACTACTAAATATATTTCATCAAACAGATCGAACGGGAATAAATAAAACCAACTAGGTAGGAGTATCATCGAAGCAGTGATTCATCAGCTATCACATACTATATATCATTACCGCAGTAAATGAAGCAATTCATACTTCCAGGTAAAATGGACGCGTGCTGATTAAATTTCATTTCATTTCACTCTGTACTTTCTGTGTTTCGGTTTTGCGCACAGCATACTATACGAAAACGCCTACATTGAATTTCCCTGTTCAGAAACAAAAATGAGCCTTCGCCTTAACAGTTTAACCCAATAGGTGTTGAAGGGTGAAGTCAAGTCAAATCAGTGGTGGTTTTAAGAAACAGAGCGTGCGAATTTTCATCTCGTTCCTACCATATCTGCGGATATAAACTTTACGAAGTTGGTAAAAAATGAAATGAAAATAAATCAGACATCAGCCTTTTCAACAAAGCAAGCAATTGCTTAACTCTGTGGAAACGCTTTCCTTAAAAACAAGTAGGTGTAAGATATGGAAAACAGAACTACGATATGAACGGAGATACCAGACAATGAAAGGTGGAACGTTGTACACAGGCATCTACTCATCGTTATCAGATTTCGGTCACCAGACGTCGTACTTCTCTCCTCCAATCTTCTTTTTCTCACCAAAATGCCAAGCTGTGGAACACCCTTCCACTTCCTGTCTTTCTCCCAACTTACAACCTCGAACTCTTTAAACGCAGAATCCATAACCTGAATCTTACGTGAATGCTACTCTACTCTCCCTTTTTCAGTCTTTTCTTTGACTACGAGGATCTCCTCTTTTATTGTAATTCACATTGTGCAATAAAAAACGTGTAATAAAAAGTTGTAATCCGAGTCATTGCAATGTTCACGTGATTCTGAATTAATAATGTAAGTCAACACAGAACAATCAACAGTTGTTTCGTCATCATACAGACTCATTTGAACATCACATTATTTTGCTCACGACAAGATCCTAAATGAGAAACGAATTTGGAATCACAGTCCTTAGACCAGGGATTCACCGATCAAAGTGATTGTACACCATGCAAAAATGGCGGTGACTATTACAAGACCATTTTAAAATAAGGGTTTCAGCTCCCATTCAAGCCCAATCGAGGATGCAAAGGTAAGCAATATTGGAAAATTCCAAACATAAACAAAGCAGCTATGCAAAACAGAAAAGGATACATTCCACTCAGTGATGCTTTAACAGCGAATGTGTACGATTTACCAGACCTCGAAGAGCAAAAAACGCTGTTCGAGCAGTGGATTTTGTAAAACCGTTGACATGGAATAAAAAGGCGTTTGTTTGAAAACAACTTGGGCACAGTGAAAAAAACCATTACCGTAAGTCGGAGATTGGCATTCGTCATCTTGTTCGATAGACATTTGCGTAGTATCGAAACTTTCATCCCCTACATCAACGCAATCATTCATTTCTTCCAAAGACTTGAGACCCGTCACAGCTACTGGAACGAAATCCAATACCGTAGTGTCTTGCCACAATGCACTGTTGCCTGGTCTAGTGACCGGGGCAACCTGCAGAACCCGAAGACAGTGACGATCTCGTTGTCCTACGCGATCGAGGTTTACTTCGATCCAACACCAGTAACTGGCATTCGCCATTTCAAAACTGCCCTGGTCTGAGGCGAGAGAGAGGGNACAAGCCATGTTTGTGCGCTGTTGTTTGGCGAGATCAACGGGCTGCGGGCGATTCTGTGGTAGATACCGGGTGCGAATTGTGTCTGCAAACTAGTCTGCTTGGTGGGGTAATTATCTCGATCCGGTAGGGATTCCAACAAATCCAAAACGGTCACACACATTCGATTCTACGAGGAATGAAACAAAAAAACGAAACAGATTAAATGTGTTATTTTATTCACTTGTTTTGGACAGTATTTATTAAGCAAAAGAGCAAAACTATAAAGGAAAAAGCACAATAGGCAATGACCTTGAACGATACAGCAGTCAAGCAACCTTTTCGCCCTTGTGATTCCCATCACATGGACACGACATTTTAAAAACGAGCGAAACGTAAGTCAATGAAGAATTCATTGTAAATACGTTCAAATAAGACGCTTAAAGAAGCTAACTTCTGAAAAGACCAGTATTCTGGATAAGACTCCAACCCACCTTCGAAGGGATACTGAGTGACTTCTATCCGTTGAAACACGAGGCGACATCAACAAGAAAGAAATTTTTCCACCGCGTCACTGATTCACCATTTACTATTGTTACTATTATACATAAATCAACAATCAGCCAGAGACTCTTTGATAATCCTTCAAGAAAACTAATCTGCTTTAGAATAGGACGACTCGATAACTGGGCGCTCAAGAGTAAATATCTGACTAGTTTATGTATTTATCATTTTGGTAAATAACTTGGAATGAGCCAAGCATGAAATAGAATAAAAAGATAGCTATGTCGATGCCATGAAGCCCTTAGAAAGCATAACACGTCAATCGATAGGTAACTCTTACAGTTACCACTTTGGATAAGTGCGTGCTGCAGCAGTCCAACTGCTGATGAAGCAACAACTAGGGACAAGACGGTGGGATTCATTGCTGAAACCGTGCGTTTGGTTTAAGGAGTGGATTAGCAAATTGTCTGAGAAAATCCTCCTGATTCCCGAAGGGTTTCCGAAAAGATTTTCTAGCAGAGCATTTCGAGTGAGGATGTCTAGGATGACCACACAGAAAGCAAGGAATAAGTACAGCGTCATCTTTTTTATGCAGTTCAAATAATTGCGAAGAGTCAAAGAAACTGGATTATTCAAGTTTATTGGCCTCTTAGAGAGGATAGACCGGCTCTATGAACGTCTCTGATTGCGGCTACCCATGCCCAGCGACTGGCGGCAAGGTTCTTGGAGATGTTGATCCAGTTGACATTCCAATGACGAATGTCGAACACCATCGCATACCAAGTTGGTTCACACACTCTGATGCAATGTCCAGTCCGGGTTTTATCTGTCCACCTTGCCTGCGGCAAAACCCTGAGCAAGGAGACGGTGATGGGACAGTATTTTCCAAAGCGCGGTCAGGTTTGCGGATCATACCGACTTATAAGAAGGGAGACAGGTCCTCTTGTGAAAACCACAGAGGAATTAGTTTAATTGATATTGCCTCTAAACTTCTCTCCGGGATCATACTCCGTCGATTGTCTGCCGCTCGTGAAGAGTGCACACGTGAGAACCAAGATGGTTTTAGACCTGGTCGAAGGTGTATCGACCACATCACTCTTCGTCGAATTCTAGAACACAAACACTCCTTTCGTAGACCCACCATTTCCATCTTCCTCGGACTAAAAGAGGCTTTCGACTCAGTCGAACGCTCTAAACCTTGGCGCTGCCTTTCTATGAAGGTTGGTACGAGACGTTTATTTCAATATTACAATCCCTCTATAATAATTGCCGAAGCCGAGCCCGAGCTTACGGCACTTTTTCGCCCGCGTTCACCACGGAAAGTGGTGTTCGACAGGGTTGCCCTCTCTCTCCATTTCTATTTAACTTTTTTATAGATTTAATTATTGAAACAGCGGCATCGATTTACTTCCAGGTGGCAGAATGTCTGATCTAGAGTATGCAGACGAAATTGTGCTACTAAGTGAAGATTCAGGTAAGTTGCAAGCTTTTCTGGATCGTTTGAGTACTAGTGTAGCGATGTTCAGCATGCGCTTTGCACCTTCAAAGCGTAAAAGGCTACTACAAGATTGGGTTGGCCCAGTCCCCAGCCTCACCCTGACCGGAGAAGTTGTAGAGAACGTAGACAAGTTTTACTATCTGGGCAGCTATATCTCACCTGGCGGACGCATCACAGATGAAGTGTCGGCACGCTGCTATCTAGGCAGCTATATCTCACCCGGCGGACGCATCACAGATGAAGTGTCGGCGCGCGCCAAAAGGCTCGTGGCATTTGCTAACTTGAGACATCTGTGGCGCCGTCGCGACATCCGGTTGTCTGTGAAGGGTCGAGTATATGCTGCAGCAGTTCGGCCAGTTCTGCTTTACGATGCAGAGACTTGGCCATGACGGTAACAGGATAAAAATAAACTGCCGGTGTTCGAACACCGGTGTCTACGTAACATTGTGAGTGGGGAAACCGGACGAGCAATGCTGAGGTTAGGCGTAGAGCTTTAAGTAATCGCGGTCGTCCACTGGAAGAGGTAGTCGACCTCCACAGATTACGCTGGTTGGGATATGTGCTACGCATGTCACCAGATAGGTCGCCACGGAGAGCGATGTTCGCCGAGGCAGGTAACGGTTGGAAAAAAAATGAAGGGTGGTCAAGTTAAGACCTGGCATGAGGGTATGAAACCCCTGACCAGGAGACTGGCTCACATAAGTCCCGTTAGACTCCCTGGCTTGGGCCCCAGAAATCATAGTAACGGATGATTAGAGACACTGAGCGATATGGCAGGGTGTCGCAAACAGTGGCGCTCATGCATCTACTCATTATTCTTGTAACTTCAGTCTAAGAAAACGTGCTACCTTTCGCTTAAATCTCCTCTCAACAATAAAATCATCATTCTGCTATTTTATCCAAATGGGCAACCAAAAGACAGCAACCAAAACCGGCGCACGAATGTGCATGGTTAATGGTTGTAAGAACTGAACTGAACTTGCGGAGGATGTCACCAAATTATTGTTATCAGAGGTGATGAATGTTTTTTTCATTACATACTTTCGTGTGAAGAACGGCAGACGGGGCGAACCCCATAGTCACGAGAACCTACTGTTCAGTGATGGAAACGGGTGACCCAAGACCGGGACTTGGAGTGGCGAACCACATAAGGCCCCGCCAGGTTAGACGTAGTATTGAACCGGACGACAGTAAAGTTGCTCACCACAGATAGGCGATGTGGTAGCGGTTTATAATCATCATCGTCGTCGTCGTACAGCGAAATACAGTGAAGCGAACTTCACTGACCGCTGCCGAACTCGCAATGCATACAAGGT